CCTCAAGCCGCATCACTGCCCAGGTGTTGGAACAGAGTGTGCGGGAGGAGGAGCTGCGCGCACAGCACCAGGCCGCGCTGCTGCGCCTGCGCGAGATGGCCCTCGAGGAGAAGACTCGCGCCGAGCTGGCCTGGCTGGAGCATCAGCGAGGGTGAGCGCACGCGCGGCCCCGGCCCCGCCCAGGCCCGGCCCAAGCCCGGCCCCGCCACACCCAGGCCACGCCCACACTGCTCGGCGGGGTTAAGGGGAACAAGGGGACGGATCCGGAACAGTGACAGGTTCGGAAAGCCAGTGAGGAACCTCAAACGTTACAGACGCAGTGAACGCCCGTGCCCCACCGCTCTCGGATGGCCTTTGCGCGTGTGTCTCGCTGGCTGCTTAGCGACAGGCTGTCGTGCGCCCTGTTCTGGACTGTCGCTAGCAACCGCCACAAAGCACAGGTGCCGCGGGAGTGCTGTAGCTCCCGCAGCCTGTGCCCGACGGCTGGCCTTTCACCGCTTCCAACCTCTAGTCATTATTTGCTTATATATATACATACATATGTATATTTTTAAGAGGGATTTTTGCTATAGGGAGCATGAGCTCGCTGGGGAGACAGAGAGACAGAAAGCGAAGAATAACCATCCCTCATGGCCATTTTTGCGGTCCTGTCTTCCCTGTTCTCCTCTCAGGATTTTGGCCACACACATGCATGCACCGTGTATTTCAAGCCACTAGATCCAGGACTTGAACCGCCGTTGACCATATGGGAGTCCAGCACCTTAACCACTACACCACCTGCCGGCCCCACTTCTCATTATTAATGAACATCCAGAGAGATTGTGTCCTGAAGGAAAATTCTTAAAAGTGGGATCTGGAAGCCTCTTGACAGTGCAGAGTGGCCGGCAGGAAGATTATTTCAGTCAAGACCCCCACTGGTGGTTTACGGGGTGCCAGGCTGTGGCACTGTGTCCCCCGATGGCCGTGGGGTGGGCACCCCACCTTCTCCCCAGAGGACCCCTGACCAGGCTGGGTCTCCGGGCTAGGAGGCTGCCTGCCACCAGACGTCATCTCTTAGATGCAGCAGTGTCTGAGGGACTGGGAGGAGTGCTGGCTGGGGCTGGAGCTGCCTTCTCCCAGGCACTGCCCTGTGCTGGAGGGTCTTCGTCTACACAGCCGCCTGCGTGGACTCATGGGGTCTCGCTCCTCCCCTAGGTGTCTAGGCAGCCGGGGGGACAAAGCGGCACTGGCCGCCCTGGCGGAGAAGCGGCAGCGAGCCCTCAGCGAGCTGGAGAAGGAGCAGGTGAGGCCAGCCCAGACCCACTGGGTGGGATGGGCACGACACAGGGGGAACCTCGGCTTCCCTGGCACCAGGGCTGGTGGGTCCCAGCGCTGCAGGGCATGTCTGCAGCAGGACAGAGCACGCCCGCAGCCCTGGCTCCAGGCCGGGCCCAGCCCTGCCCGACGTGGCTTTGGTCAAGCAGCTTGGTCTGTCGGGGCCACTCCTCATCAGAGCAGGATGGCAGTGGCGGGTGGTCTGCAGGGCCGGGGGGCCAGGGCAGATGTGCACAGTCACCACTGCTCGGAGCCTTCCCTATGGCGGAGTCAGGCGGGCCGTGATCTGCATGTGCACAGGGACCGAGTGACCACGAGGGCAGACGGTCCTCACCAGGCCTGGCTACAGGGACTGGGGTGTCTCCCTCAGTGGTCGCTCTGCCCTCGGGCCAGTGTCATTGCCGGGGCCAGGAGGAAGTGGACCGTGGGGAGATCAGGCAGTGACGCACTGTGGAGGTGGCTACTCAGGTCTGGGCCATCAGGCTGAGGGGTGGATAGGACCTGGGGGCCAGAGCGAGGGGCCTCCAGGTCCTCCTATGGGGAGACAGGTGCTATAGGGTCAGCCTTCAGGCTGAGGGGTGGATAGGACCTGGGGGCCGGAGGGAGGGGCCCCCAGGTCCTCCTGTGGGGAGACAGGTGCACTAGGGTCAGCCCGCCATGGGCAGGGGCAAGTGTTGGCACCTGGGGTAGATAATCAGGCTCACGCCCTGGTGCCCTGGTGCCCTGGTGCACTGGGAACAGGACGGTGGGCGTGCGCTGCCCGGAGACCCAGGCCACAGCGCCGTCCCAGGCATGGAGACAGAAAAATGCAGGTGACAGCCGGATACAGGGAACAGCCTGGCCAGCTAAGTGCGAGGCCCTTCTGGAAAGGGGTCTAGTTATCACACAGCAACTAGGTGGCCACTGCGACGGCCCTGCCCTGGGGAGCCGCGGGACCCCTTGGCTGAGCAGGGAGACGTGGGAGAGGCAGGCCCGTGCAGTGCGGGCCAGGGTGCCCCAGATGGTCCTTTCCTGTGGTCGGCCTCCCCCGCGTGAGCGGGCGCTGGGCCGGGGTCGTGCTGACGTTCACACCTCCCTGCTGGTACAGAGGGAGCTCCGAGCCCTGCGGAGCGTCCACCTGGCCGCACACCTGGACAGGAAGCTGTCCCCGTGGCAGAAGGACCCCCTCTCCTCGCAGACGTGCCTGAGGGAGGGGCTGCGGCAGGTGGGCTGGGCTGCCTGTGGTGACCCTGAGTAAGAGGGACGGGCTGGCCGTGCCAATGGAGGGTGGGGGTCAGCCACTGGGGGGTGCGGAGGAGCCAGACTTGCGGTGGTCCTGGAAGGGCTCCAGGCTGAGGGGCAGGAAGAAAGGCCTTGGAAAGAAGTGTGGAGCCCAGAGGGGAGGAGCCCTGTCAGGCTAGAGGGGAGGGGCCCTGGGCTCTGTCCAGCAGAGACAGTGGGAGAGCCAGGGCGGAGGCAGGAAGGGGCTCCTGGGGAGGCTGAGCACCACTGTGTCCTTGGAGAAGGTGCCTGCTCCCTCCCCGGGGCAGGGAACTATTCCAGGTGCCCACACCACCTGAGCAGCCCCTCTCACTGGGGATGCACATCTGCTTGAGAGAGGGGACAGGGACATGAACTGGATTCTCGAAGCACCTGCGCCAGGCCGGCCTGCAGGAGAGGGGACCTTTGGCTGCCCAGCCACAGAGCTCTGTCCAGCCCTGGGCACAGACTCTCCAACTCAGCCTGCTTGTGCCTGCCATGAGGGTGCGGGGCTCCACCAGGGGTGGGAGGATCCATGTCAGCCTGGCACCTGCTCATGGGAGCCTGAGTCTGTGGTGCCACGGGCGCCCTGGGGGCTGCTACCACGTGGGAGAGGAGCCGGGTCCAAGGAGGCCTCACCAGGCTGCCCTGTGTTGTCCGTCACAGAGCTCCAGCCCCGCAGTCAAGGCCACCCGGGACGCAGGCTCTGAGACAAGCCAGCAGCAACAGGGGCGGGCGCAGGACTCCCTGTGCCCCCTGGCCACACGCAGGCCCGGCAGCAGCCCTGGCCATCACCCCCCGAGACGCCCCGCAATCACACAGTGAGTCGCTCATCCTGGCCCTGCCCTGGGCGGCCCTGCCCTGCGCTGGCCCCGCCGAGTCCTTCCTGGCCATTTGCTGCTGCCCGACTCTGCTCTAGGGCCTGGCCAGGAGGCTGGGGAGCACTGAGGTCGCCGAGGGGAGCCTGGCCCCTGCCCACCTGGCCCAATGGGAGTGTGGGCCCTGGCCCCCTGGGAGCAGCTCTGAGGCAGGCAGGGGTGTGGCTGGAGGGCCACCCTCTCTTGAGCCTTTCTTTCTTTGTTAGATGGGGGCAGGGTGTCAGCCCCGCTGGGCTGCTGTGGGCCGTGGGGGTCGCAGCAGGTGGGTGACCGGCTGGGAGCAGCAGGGCACGGGCCAGTTCCGGCGCATGAGGGCCGAACTCCAGCAGTGGCAGCCTGGTCTCTCTGTGCTGGCCGTGCGTCTGCGGGCCTTGGCCCTGGCTAATAGCCAGGGACCCTGGGGCTGTGCCCAGGTGGTATGTGGAGCAGGGGGGCTGAAGGCAGTGCTCTGACACCAACCTGCAGGGGGCGGGGGGCACAGCTGCTCTCCCCACCAGGAGGAGCTTCCTGCCCTCTCGGGCTCGGAAGCTGTCTCTCCCCCCGCCCCTCTCCCCTCATATCCCCCAGGGCTACAGGCAACAAGGACCCCACACACACACACCAAGTTGCAGCCTAGGGTGTGGTGTGGATACAAGAGAGGCCCCGCATGGCACCCAGGAGCAGCCCTCGCTCCCTGCCACTCACCCAGAGCCTTCCCCGTGGTGGGTCTCTTTGCCAGTGGCAGCTTCCCCCTCAGCTCCCCCTTGGACAGACCCACGTGGCTGCCAGTGGCTGGTCACAGAATCTTTGCGAAGGCTGCAGGACCCCAGAGTTCACAGATAGGAATGGGGGTGGGCAGGGGCCCTTCTGCATGGTTGACAGCCCGGGCCCCGAGGGCGAGGTCGGGCCTCCTCCTGGGACCAGGACGCCCCTTGGTTTTCTTAGCATGTGTCGTCACGGTCGAGTTAGAAATGGAGAAAGCAGGTGTGGCGAGGCTGCTCCTGTGGAGCCCCTCCCCAGGTGTGGCCTGTCTGCTGCGTCCTGTCCTGCCCAGAGAGGGCATATTTTGTCCACCTCTCCCTGGGGAGAGGGATGACTAGGCCTTTGAGAACCTCGCAGTGCTTCCTGTCCTCCCTCAGCCCAGCTCGGAGGGACAGCCCTCTCGCTGTGTCCTGCAAGTGCTGTCGCTGTCAGGACCCTGACTGGGGACACACTGGTGTGGACAGCGAGAAAACTGGGTCTAGCCTCTCAGTGTCCCTGTCCAGGGGTCCCGGGCACTGGTTTCCAGGCTCTCAGGGTCACCCTCTGAGCCAGTACCTCCTGCTGATACCCTCTGAGTGTGAAAGTGGGAGGGAGGCCCTCGGGCTTGCCCTGGGGTGGGGCAGCAAACTGTTCAGTGCCAAGTGCCTGGAGAGAAAGGGCAGCAGCCGGGCCCAGGCGGGCACCTGAGAGCGGTGGGGTGCTCCAGAGCGGGCCTGGCCTGGCACCCGCCATGCCCTGAGCCTGCAGGCGACCTGGTGGCCTTCCCTGGCGTGGCCTTGGGCTGTAACGGGGTACCTGCTTCCTACCCTGGCAGAGGGGTCAGGAGGCTACAGCGGGCATGCTCAGAGCCTGGCCCTGCCTGAGCTGCAGCAAGCCGCCAGGGGCTCCAGGTAGGGCCCAGCGTGTGCCCACACAGTGCTGCTCAGAGTGGCCGGGCATCTCCTCGCAGAGACAGACAGACAGCGCTGCACCGGCAGGATGTCACCCTACCCCACGGCACAGGACCCCCTGGGGCAGCAGGCTCTGATGGGAAGCTGCCCATTTGCAAGGGGCAGGGCCCCATCTGCTCTTGGCCCCTGTCCACAGCTGCCCCTGGCTGTGCCATGAGGTTACGGGGACAGGGCTCACCCAGCGTTGTGCTCAGGGCTGGCTCCCTGGGAGGGGCGGCCATCCACTCCACCCTGCCTTGCAGCCTTTCAACCGAGCAGCAGCCTGCGGCAGCCCCACTGGCAGCTCCAGAGACAGACAGTCACTTACAGCCCCAGGGGCCAGCACTGAGAGAGGACACACCTGATGCCCGGGGCCAGCTGCTGGAGAGCAGTAGCCAAGGTAACCGTGCAGGGCAGCGGCTGTGCCAGGCCCACAGCAGACGCCAGGAAACCTGCGGCGGCATCGGGCTTCGGGTCAGACAGACTTGCACGCGTGTGTGAGCAGGTGCCTGAGGCCTCCCTGCTCTGTAGCCAGGTGCAGCGCCCACGTAGGCTCACACAGGAGAGCTGCCTGTGCACACTCAGCTGACCTTCCCAAGTCATAGAGCAAGGGACACCATCTGGGAAGCCACCTGACAGGCCCCCGCTCTTGACAGCAGGTGGCTGCTCAGAGCTGGCCGGTCACCACCAAGCACAGGCCCCGACTGTGGGCGGTTCCAGGCAGGCCTGCAAAAACACCACCACCTTGCGGGCCATGCCTGACCCAGGGTGGAGGGAGGGTCAGGCCGGGCCTGCTCTGTCCTACTTTCCCGTTCAGAGCCGAGCCCGTCTCCTTATCCTTCTCCTGGAATTCTGGGCATGCATACACATGCACCTGGCATGAGCTTCAAGCTGCCAGGCCTGGGACTTGAACTGCAGTTGACCAAGTGGGCGTCCAGTGCCTTAACCGGGCGCGTGCGCTCGCCAGACAGACAGAGAGAGACATAGAGACAGAAAGCGAGAAATCACCCCCCAGGGGGATGGTCACACCGCAATCCCCTCTCCTCCATTCTCCTCTTGGGATCTTGGGCACGCACGCAGACGCACCTGGTGTGAGTTTTAAGCCACCAGGTCCGGGACGCGAACCGCAGTCAACTACATGGGAGTCCAGCGACATAGCCATTACACTAACTGCTGGTTCCCACCCCTCTCTCTTTTTAAAGAGGTTCATCCCATAAGGTTCATGCACTTGCTAGAAAGAGAGACAGAGACAGTGAGAGGGAAAGTGAGAAATCACACACACCACACACCCCTCAGTGAGGATGGTCATGCCACAGTCCCTTCTCCATTCTCCTCCTGGGATCTTGGGCATGGCATGAGTTTCAAGTCACTGGGTCTGGGAATTGAACCACAGTCAACCACGTAGGAGTCCAGCGATGTAACCACCACGCTGGACCCCATCCCAAAATTAACTGTGCCTGCAAAGGCCCCGTCCCCAGCAGGCGCCAGCCACAGCACTGCAGCTTCGGGTGTCTCTCCCAGGGCCACCATTCTACCTGGGTGGCCCCCAAGGCGCTCTTGGTCCCAGTCTCAGCACAGGGATGTGGTTTAGTGAAACCCCCTCAGCAGGACAGTGTGGGGAGTGGGCAGCTCGCAGGCACCCCAGGGCCTGCCCTCTCGGCTCCTCTGGGCCTCGCTGTGACCCCAGGGAGCAGCTGGGAACCCCGGAAGTGTGGGGAGCCTCCAGCCTCCAGGAACTGGCATGAGCAGATGGGAGGGGGGGTGAATAGCATGGGGGGGCAGGGGCAGGTCGACTTTCGGCTGGGAGTGGGGGCAGGGGACACGGGAGGTAGTGTGACGGGGGTTGGGGGAGGCACAGAGCAGTGGGGGCCACAACCCAGAGCCGTCTTCCTCTCTGGGTCTGGGGAGCCCTCGCAGCCGCGTGTCTTTCAGAGCCCAGGAAGCAGCCTTGTGCCCCTGTGCTGGGCCTTCCCTGCGGGAGTGAGAGAGTCGAGGATGTCAGACATCCGCGGGCCCCGGCCTTCCCGGTAAGCAGAGGCTCGGGAAGCCCTTTTCATCCCGCACTGCCTTCCTGGGCCCTGGTCTGCAAATCTGCATCTTCGTCTCAGGGGGAGCCTGGGTGCCAGTGTGTCCTTCATTCACGGAGTGCCAGGCGTCTCCAGGTCAACCCTGCCCTGATGTCCTCCCCAGGTGGTCCCTATGCTGCATAGCCTTTTCCCCGAGTCTGGGGGGCTCTCTGAGGATGCAGAGGGGTGCAGCCCCGCAGCACAGCTTAGGCCACTGGAGATGAAGGAGCTGTCCCCAGGTAAGCCCCCTGAAAATGGCCTATGTACCTCCCCCGAGGGGACCCACCAGAAGCGTGCCCCTCATCGAGGGGGTCTTGTCCATGGCCGCTGCCCAGCTGCCAGACAAGGACTGGGAGGTCTGTGAGGAACACTGAAGACGACAAGTCCCAGCAACCCCTGCCCTGGCCGCAGACCCCTCCAGGCTAGGTCGGCCAGCTCCAGTTCTGACAGGAAGTGACACAGCCCTTGGGAAATTAAAACTCTGCTGTCTCTGGTCATTTCCTCACAACTTCCTCTACCTGGGAGGGGATTGTTATTTTTCAAGAGGTCTTTGCCTTAGGACTTGTGTTCTCGCTGGAGAGAGAGACAGAGACAGTGAGAGGGAAAGTGAGAAATCACCCTCCAGGGGGATGGCCACACTGCAATCCCTTCTCCTCTGTTCTCTTCCTGGGATCTTGGGCACGCACGCACACACACCCTTGCCCAGCATGAATTTCAAGCCACTGGGTCCAGGACTCAAACTGTGGTCAACCATGTGGGAGTCCAGTGACGTGACCACTATGCCATCTGCTGGCCCCACTTGGAGGAATTGCTAACCACTTGGAATCCAGCGTTGAGGAAGTGTTCTCTCTAGCTACGCGAGCCCTGGCGCCTAGGGACACCTTCCTTCTCCACCGCTTGGTCTGGAGCCAGGGCCTGACTGGCACGTGAGGTAGCGTGGGCCTTGCTCACGGGCCTGGGGAGCCCTGGTGCCAGGGGTACACAGGGAGCCGCCGCGGGGCCAGGCCTGTCACCGTGCAGGAATCACCCTGGGCATAGGCGGGGGCCTGCTGCAGTCCTCACCCTCTCGAGCCTGCACCCTGAGCTCCTGGCAGGCAGCGAGGGCAGTGCAGGTGGTACAGGCTAGACCTGCTGAGGAGCGCTCACCGGGCGGGCTTCCCAGGTGGGCCTGGAGGTGCCGGTGGGCAGCTGGGACTGGGGCAGGCTTCCATGCCCACCCCCGCACTCCCACCCGCTGGGCCTGGGCTTCTGCGGCCACCTGTGCCTTCCTTCCACCTGACCTCCCACGCTGCTGGCATGGCTGCCTGTGCTCCTACCGGGGCTCTCACCCCTCTGCTGACGAGCAGCCTGAGGCCAGGAGCCCGAGCCAAGGCTGTGAACGAGGAGCCTGCCAGTGAGCGCCGAGACCTGCCTGGTCTGTGTGGTGGCTGCTCTCTGCTCAGGGTGCCACACTCGCAGGGGCTCCCTGGGTAGTGCCACATCATGGCCATCAGGGAAGTCCAGGGCCCTTCCTGTGTGGCCCCACTGCTGTAGCCTTCACGAAGAGCTGTGGGAGAGCCATCCGGTGGCCCGCTGTCCAGCAGGGACCCCACATGTCTGGGCTTTCATCTTAGACCAGGAAGGGCCCATAGGCTGTTCGTGGCAGGCCCCACTATGGCCCCACTGGCCTGTGGCCCCTACCTGGTGGCCTTACAGCTGGCTGGGGGTGACCTTGGGGGCAGCTCCTCGGCATAGCCCCCCAGCCTCTAGACCACAGAGGGCCAGGGCTTCCTGGCTTCCTGCCACATGCAGAAAGGTCTCCCACTGGAGCAACTGCTCACCAAGCACTTTTCCAGGGCTACGTGTCACTAATTGCCCATCTCAGGGTCATCTTAGGAGCAAATGGCCACTGGGGCCAGCAGGTGGTGTAGTGGTTAAGGCACTGCACTCCTACCTGGCCGCCCACAGTTCGAGTCCCAGACGTGGGGTCCCGAGAAGAGAATGGAGGAGAGAGGATTACGGTGTGGCCATCCCCCCTGGGGGGTGGTTTCTCACTTTTCTCTCTGGCAAGTATACGCACACTATAGCAAAAAGTTCTTTAAAAAAATAACCACTCAGGACCAGCAGTTAGTGTAATGACTATGTCACTGGACTCCCATGTAATCGACCGTGGTTCGCGTCCTGGACCTGGTGGCTTAAAACTCACGCCGGGCGCATGTGCGTACGTGCCCAAGATCCCGAGAGGAGAATGGAGGAGAAGGGACTGTGGTGTGGCCATTCCCCCGGGGGGGGGGTGATTTCTTGCTTTCTGTCTCTCTGTCTTTCTGGCAAGCGCATGCACCCTATAGCAAAAACCTCTCTCAAAAAAAAAAAAAAAAAAAAAAAGCCACCCAAAGGAGTGCTGGGTCCGTGTGACTTTTAAGACGTTTTTTTATGTGGCTTCCGAGTTCCTGGGGGCCACCCCTCTGCCCTGCATGTGCCCGCCTGTGCTGACAGTCCCTTTGCTCTGCAGAAGACCCTCGGGCTAAGCCCAGCCCCCCCTCAGCAGAGAAGCCCCGGGCTCCCGCGGAACGCCTCACAAAGAACTTCCCGGGATGGAGCAGGCGCCCTCTGTGCAGCGAGGACCCTTGTGGCCCCGGGGGAGCCAGCGTGAGTCGGCCATGGCCTTGCGTGTGGGGCCCTGCTCTGCGGCCTTTGCAAGGGTGCCTTACCCATGCTATGAGGGTGGGATGGATGCCCAAGACTTGGGCAAAGAAAGCCTGCCTGCCTGTGTGCGGAGGGCGAGTGCGTTGGCAGGCCTTTGGAGCCCCTGGGAGGGGTGTCAGGGGAGAGGGGTCTCCACCGCTCCCTGCAGGGGCTGCCTGATCTTTCTTTCCTCTGCCTGTGTGGTAGGTCGGAAGCAACTCCAGCCCAGAGGGGCCAGAATTGGGGCTGGATTTTGCCGGGAGCCCTGTGGGGAAGCCCCGCACAACAGAGAGCTGGCAGCCAGGGGAGCAGAGGTGCGGCCAGGCTGCCTAGAGCTGCAGGACCTGGGCGGGGCCGGGCCCTGAGGAGTGGACACAGGTCTGGCACTCCCTGTCCTCTTGCTGGGAGACCCTGCATCTGGCTTTGGCCTGGCCAAGCACCACCCCACATCATGCCTTCCTGAGTCTGAGTCACTTTGGGAAGCCAAGGTGTCACTCAGACAGTCAGCCCACGGCAGAGGCCCTCTCCAAGGGCATGTGCTCCCTGGACACTCCGGGGGTGTCCCCACGTGTGGGGACTGAGACAAATGCCCAGAGACACGCCTCCAGGAGCCCTGTGCCCTGCACTCTGACGGTCACCCAGATGACAGCCGATGCCTGGCAGCCTGTGTGAAGAGTACTGGGGTGGGGGCGCTGGCCTGGCCCCGTGGACTGCCTGGCAGCCTGTGGAAGCAGCTGGGGAGGACCAGAGCCCCTCGGGGCACCCCAGGACTGCTCCGTCAATGTGCTTGCAGGAGCGAGGCCTGGTGGCAGGAGGAGGAATGTGGAGACCCCGTCTCCGGGCTGGAAGACGCCCGTCTGGCTGCCTCTCCAGGTAACGCCGCAGCCTCCAGGGCCCAGGCTGCTCAGGGGTCATGGAGGTCCCACTTAAGGGTCAGCGGAGGCCGTTGCTAAGTCAGAGCCAGGCTTCCCCCTCCCACTGCCCTGCTGGGGGACCCTGCCCACGCGCACCCATGTCCCAGGGCTGCTAAGTGAGAGGTGGGTGGCTGTAGGTAGACCCCTGTCTGGAGCCCCGTCTGGAGGCCAAGGGCCCCATCTTTGAACAACAGCTGGGCTCTGAGACTTGGAGACATCCCCAGGCCAGGAGTGGCGGGGTGGGGCTGGAATCCAAGGGTGGCGCACCAGGTCATGGCCACCTCCAACTCCTCTGTTGGGGTGTTTTTCTGGTTCCATCCACAGGGTATGGGTGCTGCTCTTTCTAGTGCTGGGTGGGAGGGGGCCTGACCACAGCTGGACCAGCACAAATGCACTGTCTTGGCAGTTCCAGTGGCCCCTGAGGAGGAGACGCCCACCGCCCAGTGCCAGGGCAGCCCCCTGCCCAGGCCTGCTCTCCCTGTGGACCTGGGCCCTGAGACTGCTCCCGGAACCCATGTAGGATCACCAGAAGCTCAGGCCCTGCCCCACACCTCGGTAACAGGCACTGCGAGTGGCCTGGCCTGGCCTTCTCCCCGAGAGTTTCAGAAAGCCACCGCCACCCTGGTGCAGCTGTCTGAGAGCTCCACATCCCTGTCCAGCTGGGAGGCTGATGACACCCCAGACGCAGACCTTGGCTGGCCCGGAGAGGTCTCTGCAGGCCACTCCCAGGAGGACACTGGCCTGCCGTTACCCTGCGGGCTCCCCCAGGGTGGGCTGCCCCTGGGTGGTGGTTCTGTGACCTGCCATAAGCCAGAGGACAGTGGGAAGAGCCCCCCTGTGGAGGCGGCAGGGTCAGGAGGCATGGAGCCAGAACAAAGCGCCCCATGTACGCCGGCCACCCCCTCCCCAAGGCTGGGGTCAGAGCTCTCAGAGTGCTCTTGCAAAGTGTGGGACGAGGACAGTGAGGACAGCCTGTCACAGCCTGGCGCTGGTGCCGGGCCAGCCCCAGGGAGTGAGCTTGACAGCCAGGGGGAGGCCCACGTGCCTCTTCCCTTCCTGGGCCCTGGGGAGGGGCTGGAAGCTTCTGGAACCAGCAATAGTGAGATCTGGGGATCAAATACAGGAAACAGCTAGTGGGTGTCCCCTGAGGCAGACTCCTTGGCATTCC